ATACTTGAGAAAAACAGTCAGGTGTGTTTGTACGAAATAAAAGGAAGAGTAGGTTTTGTAAGCACATTAAAATACAATAAACCTGTAGCTAATAAGAAAACAATGAAAATAATAATAATTACCGACGATAGGTAAATATAATAGATGGACTATTTTTTAATTTATTCCAAGATATGACAACTTTTGTAAAAGAATCATTTTTTATGTAATAATCAGCGAATATTGGAAGCAATGATTCGTCCTTTATACGTTATAATTTTAAAATAGTAAAATAGATAAGTAAGGTAGTGTGCAAGTTACTGATTACCACTAATGGTAAATGTTGAATAAATAACAAGGGGAATGATTCGAGGAAAATGAAAAGCGTAATGGTTGAGGAAATAACCTATTAGATTACTATAAAATCGTCTTCTTTTAAGTAAATGGAAAATCTTTCCAAATTTCTCATCAATAATGCACGTGTAAAAATGAATCAGTTCAACAAACTCGAATATGTTTTAAAAATAAATGAATTTCAAGGAAAACGTTTATTATTTTATAGAAGTACTTCATATTTTTATAAAAACTCCATTTTTGACATGTAACAATGCAGATTCGAGAAACTGTATCGATCTTGCGTCTAATTTTTCTTTCGCAAAAAAATGTTACCTCTGTGTAACTAAAAATTATAGATTAACTATCAGTCTGAAATCTCTGAAGACGGATGCAGAAACGGTAAAGAGGGAGACGAAGGTCACCCATAGGAGTCGAAATTTACGTCGCAAAAAGTGAGTAACCGTTACCCCATTATAAGAGCAAGGTCTCGAGGAGGGTATTTCAATGATGGAAACGAAACAAGGCCAATGATACAGTAGAATTAGAAAGTATTAACCCAAACATTGATAAAAACACGTTACAAAAATTTTAGTAACTCAAATCTTTCGTCGATTGATTTTTTCCTATCGTCTGAAAGAGAGAGAGAGAGAGAGAGAAAGAATGCTTCTCATTGGAAAAAAAAAGAAACTTTTCCAAGCACAGCCAGTGCCATTATGGCAACATCTTTGTACACATTGACAATAATTGGTACCGTCGCCTATTTCTGGATTCTATTCTTAATCACATTCCCATTGATAGTTTGTTGCAAACGAAGAGTAACTGGACCTCGACGTGCTAAAAAGAAATGCTGCAGATGTGAATTACAGAAGAGCTAATCACGAAGTATGTGTAAAATTCGAATCGGTTTTGAAACTTCGACGAGAAACCTAATGAGAGAAAAAAAGAGAAACGAAACTGAAGTAGTAAAGAAACTAAAGAGAGACTTTTGTACATTCGTTCGGGGAGAAGAACAAGTACGTTTTTGAAAATTGAACGAAGTTTGACAAAGAATTTGCTCGTTTTCACCAGAGGCAAGGTTAAAAATTTCAAGGTGACGATGCAAATCCGTCAGGCAATTGTCTTTCCTTTATGACAACTCAAAGCACGTTGTTGTTTTCTGTGCAGATATTTTCTCGACGAGCCCGTAAACTTTCAATCGGTGCCCACGGCTAGAGATACCCTCGACGTAGCTCACCAGTATCTCTGTTCAGAATTGGCACGCCTGGCTGTCGAATATCTCGAGAGGAATCTCAACACTCAGAACGTGCTCGAGATTTACGAAGGCCTCGGTCTTTACGCGAATCACGAAACTCCTGATCTGAATCGATCGTCGAACTCGCCCACGGCTCCTCCGGCTCCTGGAGACGATGCTGGTGAAATAGGTATTGTTTGTGACGTTCAAATTGTTTAGAAGAATTAAGGAGCCTGTGCAAGAGCCAGATAACTCTTTCGTCTCTTTGGTCTTTCTTTGTTTATTCTTTTAACCTGTTACATACAAAAATACTCTATCTATTGGTGTAAGAACTGTACAGCCCAAGGCACTGGTAATTGATTATAATATCGGATGGTTCGGAAAGTTCATAGCGAAACGTGGGAAAAAATTCAAACTGACGTATCTCTGTTTCTAATCGTGACAGTGGGAAAAACCGAAAGGTATTTTATACTCGTTGTTTGCAGACGAACCCAACATACTCTTCGAATAGGGTGAACGCGGAAGGATACACAGGGTGGTTGAAAAAGTTCGTAGCGAAATGTAGGAAAAATTCAAACTGACGTATCTTTGTTTCTAATTGAGATAGTAGGAGAAAACCAGAAAGTATTTTACTCGTCACTTGAAGATAAATCCGATGCACCCCTAAAATTACTCCCAAAGCGAACTATATTTTCCGCGGTATGTAGCGTTACCACGAGAAATTCAACATCCACGCTCCACAGCGAAAAATATAATTCGATTTATATCCACCCTCGTTCACCTTACGAATTATTCAAGTAGTGTGTTGGATTCACTTGTCTGGTTTAACTTCTATCGTTGTGTCAATTAGAGATACGACGGTTTAAATTTCGCTACGAACTTTCCGAACAACTCAAGAACGTGTTAAAGTATCAATTTAAAACGGGCTGAAGATATTAACGATATTACATTGTGGTTCCACAACCAGATTTTCGAAAAGTTCCTTCTTCGTTAAGAATTGCCAAACGGCGATACCTACTCACATTAATCGCGATCGCTGAACGACCTAGTTAAATCAGTAGCAAACTTAAGAAATAAACTGTATAAAAAAAAATAATTAACAAATTAAACTTTTCTTCACATTCACAAAATAACACCGTATCGTTTATTCCATGGTAGAGATTATTTAAGGATTAACCCTTTCGCTGCGGCAAATTTTAGTACACAACGCGCGTGGCAGCCGCAAGATTTTCCTTTTTTGGTCGTATCGTTTTAAAATTTGTCTCACTGAATTAACGTGGAAGAGTGCAGAGGATAAAATTAATATGGAAGTGCGCCAAAAGGCTCCAATAACACAAACTTTCAAATTTTCAAAGCGCCTGTAGGCGCCAGTAACAGTGAAAGGGTTAACTCTATCTACCGGTACTCCCAATAAATATTCAGACGCTAAATAACATTTACCAAACTCCCCGTTTTAACTTCGTTGAAATTTTAGCTGTATTATGTACGCGACTTCTGTCCGCCTGCCTGCACAAAATCGACGTCGAGTCGGACACGGTGTTTGGGCAGCAACACTTCGAGGAGTTAAACTCCGTGGAGGTTGAAGAGCTGGCTAGTCGGGACACGTTGAAGTTGACCGACGAATCGATACTGTTTAACGCGCTGGACAGGTGGGCTGCCGCTGAGTGTAGAAGAAACGGAATCGAGCCGTCAGCTAGCAATAAAAGATCAGCTCTCTCGAATGACGTCTGGTACAGCGTTCGATATCCCCTTATGACTGATAGAAAATTTATCGAGGGTCCTATGGCCAGTGGGATCCTCACTAGCGAAGAATCAGCTCTGATTGTCGCTAGAATTTTGGGCCACGTGGAAGATCTTGAGGGCGAAGAGGTACGTGGTTGTTGAATTTTCCATTTGACGATACATATCTGATGTTGTGGTGGGTAGAATGATACAGTTGATGAAGTCTTTTGGTATTATTGATATACTGTGTTGAAAGGAATTTTACCAAATTAATTAATATTATTATAGAGATTGATAAGTAGATACTTTGCATGTTTGAAAAATAAGGACAGTGTTTACTACTTTCTTGGTAGTTTCGTTAATTTTTTGGAGATTTTAATTTGTATTTCAATAATTTCAATATTCATCCATACAAAATGGTATTGTATTTCAGCAATTTCGTTAATTTCGTTAATTTCAATAATTTCTATATTCATCCATACAAAATGGTATTGTATTTCAGCAATTTCGTTAATTTCAATAATTTCAGTAACCATAAATAGATCAATATTTTATCGACGAGTATTTTCTAATTTCTTTCCAAGTCATCCTTCTTTAAATCTTGTTCTATGATTATATTATCCATGATAGTTCTATGTTTATTATATTACATTTTCTACGATTATCAACATTTTTCATAATTATACGAAAATTCACCGACGCGTTATAAGCTTTCGAAGTAATTGTAATTTGTAAGAATCGAACATATTTTTCTTACTTCAGTCGTGGTACAAAAAGAGCAACTTTTTAAATTATAGCAACGGCTGGGTATTTAGGTGAAGAAGCACGATATCGAAGATGGTTTTAAAGTGAAAGCGGAGTACGCCCTTCTTATCGAAAGTTAGCATTTATCTTACTGCTGAAACTAGTGTCCATGATCATTATCAGACAGTACTGTTTTATCTGTCCACAGTTTATTGATCTAACAGTGCAGCCAAATTCCATTTGTACCCGATCCCCATTGTCGAACTTTTCCATTTTAGTCTTCGAAGTCTTTTGTGTGGTGTACTAACGTCTAGCTAAAGTGTTGTGTGAACAGTGTCTCATCTTTTCCTTTCCTTTCCATTGCCGTTGAGTTGAAAATTTATGAAAGACCTTAATAATAACGGAACTTTATTCGTAGAAATATTCTAACTTTAACGCAAAATTAGGCATCGTTCTTAAATGTTACAGTGTCCGCTTGTAAAGTGCAATATGTCAATTAGGAAAAACAAAATAAATAATAATTTTGAAGATAATAAGAGTGTTCAGCGATATAATAGACTTAAAAAAAACGGTAAAAGAATGTCATATTCAAGCTTTGCATAAAAATTCATATAACAGTTGTTTGAAATTCGAATATATATACTTTGCAAAGATTTTCATGAAAATTTTAATCGTTACAATGTTATTTTACTATTGTAACTCTTATTCAGTTTTAACGTTAGTTTACCTTTTTATAAAATTTATTTACATCACTTGCAAACATTATTTACAATAAGTCCTTTTTTATATTCTTCAATGTTACAAAAATTTTAATCCAACTACACATAGTAATAATTAGAAATTTCTCTCTGAAACAAAAAAAAAAAAACAAAAAATTTCATAGAAATCTACCTTTCCTACAACAGAAATGGCCCCTTTTTAAAATTGAAATCTACGTAGAAAAACTATCTCAACTGGCAGATAGTTGACAGATTACATTACATATAATTAATAATAAAATCAAATTATACAAGAAATGTTCGTTCTCTTTGCCCGTAGGTTAAAAATTTATTGTTGCCCAAGTTGAACAGTACACCGAGAGTAACTGCCGTGACGTACGAGGACCTGTGCTACACGATGTCGAAGCCAGGAACGAAAGAATGCCAGGACAATCGAAAGAACAGAAGAAAGGAGTGTGTAACCCAAGGGCATAGAACTTGCACGAAAATCGGCACTTGTATGGTGCGAGTCCTCGCCTGGATCTTCGATTGAACGACGTTGAATAGGATCGAAGAATCGATGAAATCGGCAGATCCTGGAATTTCCCACCGAAAGCTAACTGTTTTTCTTTCTTTCTTTCTTTCTACCGTTTTCCAAGTATTTGTGTAACACACCAGCACGTAAAACTTTCGCGTTGAATTTGATTTGCTCGTGAAATTACTAATGCTTAGACGCTAAGAGTTCAAATGCTAAATGTTTCACATTGAACCGATATTAACACTCGTGTATTACCACCGAAATATCGTTCGCGAGATTCCTTCTGTTTTCACATTGTTTTCCTGTTTTTTTTTTTTTTTTATTTTGCGAACAATGACTACTGTGCGACGACAAGAAAGCTGAAAGAGGCTGAGATTTAATTGTTATACATCTTTTTTTAACGTCTTTTCTCGTCAGATCATAGGAGCTCTCGAATACAACGTTCCTCCTTACAAAAAGTGTGTTTCTTAGGGGAGAATAGTGTATTTTTAGATAATTGAATATTTTCGAATTTTCAATGATTATTTTAAGGCTTATACATTTTACCATTTACACGTTTTTTATTTCGATGTTTTGCTTATTGCGAAGACACTGAAATTTCGTCTATTGAAAATGTCTCGAGTTTTGTACTTGGTGAAAATAATCTTACAGACGATTCGTGTTTGTTGCTTTTTGCACGACAATATAGCAGTCAAGAAAATTGACTCTTTTTATTCGTATCAGGCTCTCGAAGTTTCTTAAATGATCGATGCAAGAGGAAATTTATTTAACATTTGCAAAATTAGCAAATATACTAGGTTTTTTCAGGTAGTATTTTAAAGTTGAGCAATTTTAAAAAAATTCATAGATTAATTTAATAGAGAATATTGAACCTTGGAAAGTGTATCATTTGTAGGTAATGTAGGGCCCTATGATAACGGCTACAACGTAATTGCTTTTGTATCTTTTTAGGCTCCCATCGTTATCTTCGTCTGGAAATTTTAAACGCCCTATACGAATAAGTTCCCCAAGAAATGATTAAAGTATTTATAATTCTATGTAACGAAGACTGAAAATTCGATACAGACTGAATAAATATTTTTGCAACGTTTTTGGCATTTTTTCAAATGCAACAAAATTTCACGCAAAAACAACAGACAGTCTGTTTGACATTTTTAGTTTTCGGTTGCCATTATTACGTATATCCTATTATACATTAATACCACGTTCGTTATGTTCATAACTGTTGTTTAGAGTATATAGTGCATAAATTATGAATTAAAGCGTAGAACCATGGCTGGTCCGTGTGTGTGTCTGTGCAACGTTCACGACGCAAACTTCGTTTCTCGCAAGAATCTTTCTACTTCGATGCTTTATACCAAATCTTCGAATTGTTCATAAATGACAGTACTTCTATGCATTTCCCATAATCACAATTTCTTTCGAGATTTTATACGCATTTTACATATATCGAACGTCCACGTGATAGACGAATAAATCACGTAGTAATTAAAGAACGACGACAGCTTCAAATCGATTTGAAGCTGACGCGTTTAGTATCTACGGTTTAAATTTACACATTCAGTTGATTTTTTTTTTCTTTAAGCGTCTTCAATGTGAAGAATATCGATGTGATTTTTTTATACACATGTGATTTTTTATACACATTATACACCATTTGTAAATAACTTTTAACATGTAATGTAAATATTTTTATATTTCTTTTGTCAATTTCCCTTAAAATTTTAACATACGGAAAGAGAGAAATGTAAACGTATACATGAATAGGCGTTTAAATTATTTCTTCGATCAATCACAAGATTGACACTACACGTTAATAGTTAATGAAGATCCATAGAAAATATAATATTCTAGAAAATATAAATTTTTCTTTTTTTTTTTATTGTATCAGTAACTGAAGGAACAACTGAGTGTCTGAGTTTAAACCTGACATAGCGAATAATTATTAACATCGAACTATACTAGCAAACAGGATGTCACCACGTCGCAATACAGACGTGAGATCAAGAGGTCGTGATGACATTACTGAAACGATGTTAATCGTTTCCACGTTAATTTTTCATATTCGTTTAACTATCATCTGTCAGAAGTTAATGTCATCAACGGCTGCGTAAACGTATTCTGTCGTTACTATTGTACGTTACCATTAAACGTTAGTCATTTAAATCTCGTGTTACTATTTGATCGGTTAAATTTTATTCGTTGCGACTCGTTTGTGCTCGAATTACTATAAAAGCGAATGTTACGCTAACGAGTGTCGCTGAGTCTATTGTATGTTGACGATTATTTATAAATCAATATAATTATTGAAACGTGATTATATACATACTTGTTTGAATTGGTTGTTTTAAGGTTAGGCAGCTTGTAAACGTGCGTGTCTAGTGGACCTGTTGATCGTTTCGCACATTTCGTAATGAATTCTATCTTTTCGAACGAAAAGAATGATTGAAAATTGAAGGTAAAGCTTGCAATTGTAACAACGAATTATACAGGAAATAAATGATGCATAAAAGATCAGTTGCTCGTGTATCGTTCTACACTTTTATAATAAATCATTGTACATAGTGGAAAAATACTGGAAAATAATAAACTGATGTAAAACACAAGAAATGTAAAAAAAAATGTGACGTTTTAAATAATACGATCTCGAATTAGAATAAATATGTAGAAAAGATAATTAGGAAAATTCGATTATTAAATAATTGAAAGAAATGATATAAAAATGTTTGTAAATGTAATAAATAGTACAACAGAGAAATCACATTTTCCACTATTACTTAAAGAATACATACTGAAACAATACTACCAATGGACACAAACACGAAATTGTAAAATTAAATTAAACATTATCTAAATCACTGTATGTAACAATTGTATTTTATTTTATATTTTATTTTTACTTTGAGTAACAAGTAGAAATATTAAAAGGAAAATAAATCTTTCCCCTTCTTTTCAATAATATGCACTGAGCGTTATCTTAAATCACAATTTACTATTATATTGCTTATTCTGGAGGTGGGATAAGCAGTGCTAACTTCACTTAGTATATGATTTAATTAAAATAGAAGAATCTCAGTTACATATTTTTAGTTAAAATGTTTGCTATTTTATTCTTATTTTCATTAGTGTTAATGTGAAATCTTTCAAATTTTTTAAATTATTTTCTTAACAATTCACTCTTAATAGTATGGCAAAACACATTTTCTAAATATTTGTGCAAAAACTTTGTTTAATAACACAATACACATACTGTATGTCTCACTTTACGTATTATTATAATAAATATAGTAAGAAATAAGAAATAAGATATAATTATAACGCTATAATTTTCATTTCACGAATACTAAACTTTACATTCTTGATATACATTAGTAATGTTTACTTTGTTATATTTAAATATTTAAAAACTAATGGCACATTCGGTACACGATTGTAACTTCGATAGCTACCTTCGAGATAAAATGGCGACGCACATAGAACACAGTTCAACATCAATATTGTTGTCACGTTTGTTAAATGTTTAAATATTAGACATTGGTAAAATAATAATAAGTGACTTCAAAATTTGTGCACTTTTGACAAACTGTTTGAAAAGATGAATATTGAGTGTCCTAACCTATTACAACGTATTAATACAGCATACGTTATATGAGTTTCTACAATGTTATTTATCTTTTGACGTTTCTAATTGAAAAACATCCGCCGATCTTTAAGAAGTTAACGCAAAAGTGCTAAAAGTAATTTAAAAAATGCATCCACCTAGAGACTTCATATTGCAAGGTGGAAATACTGCATTTGCAAACAGGCAAAAATTACTGTTTGATAAGTTGTCAGATGCAGAGCAAGAATGTAATAAGAATAAAATGGTCACTGAATCCACAGATGTGGAAATAGATATTGATGAATCAAATAAAACTCAAATACTAAGAGCTGGTCAGAAACGTAAAAGTGAAACAAAAAAATTTCGTGGTAAAGAGAGTATCTTTAAACGTCCAGAAGGTCCAGCACCACGTGCTCTTAGTAGAAGTATACCAGATTTTCACAAGAACCCTCATAAATGGAAGAAATATAGTTTGGATGATGTATCAAATGATGATATGACAGAAGAAAGCAATACCAGGGCTGCATTGTCATTTTTGAAAGAACTAAAGGCAAGAAGATCAATGGAAAAAGCAGAAAAATCAGAAAAAATGGATATTGAACAATCTGGTTCAGTGGAACAAAATCAAAGAAAAGTAGTATTTAAGCCCAGAAAAATTAAGACAACTTCAGATGTTGAATTTAAGAAACCTGAGAGCAGTGCAGATAAAATAAGTAATATACCAGTTATTGTTGATCATGATGATAAACCTATCTTTAGGAGTAGTAAAGTTATTATGCCAGAATATGTTGTTGGACAAAAACACAAGAAAAAAAATAAAAAGGAAAAGCACATAGAGAAAGTTGACCGATTAAAACAACTGAAATTAGATCATTTAGAAGAAGCTGATGAAGATGAGAATTGAATGCATGTCTGATATTATTACTGTAAATGTAATTACAGTTATCAAAGTTTCTGTATAATATTAGTGTTTGATATATTTTATTGGTTAATGTACTTTGAATATAATAGCAATAAAATGCTGCACATTATCTTAGATATAAAACTTTAAGTGTTTTATACAAGTTTATTGAACGTTTTCCTTCATTTTTTCAAATTGAGATAGATACATAATCTTGGAGAATTTAAATAAAGCCGCTCCAGCAGATTCTTCCGGAAAAGATGCGATTGCGCACAAACTTCGCGGGTTATGATTATTTCCTGTCGGCATTAGTCGCTGGTTATTCAAACGTCGTCAGCATCTTTTGACTATTTTCCAATTTTTTACGAGCAATGCTAGCCAGTATACGAAATATAAACTATTGGACTTCGGTAAGTTACGTGAATATATCCTTGAAAGATTACACGTTTCGCTAAATGACGGTAAAAACTTATTCGCACGATTGGAGGGGGAACAATTTATAACCTGTACGCACACAAGCTCTAAGATTCAAAATGGCGTGTCATTAGTGAACGAAAAACGTAGGCGAAATTGCATTTCGATGTCGTACTAAATTCGTCGTTCATGTTTCTATATTCAGTGAATTTAAATCTCTTGCCAAGAAAGTAAAAAAAAGGAAGAGGTTATGACAGTATTCTCGTGTGTGTCGTTCTAGGAAGTTCGTTAGTATATTCATAGTCGAGGAATTAATAATGCAGGAAATCATCCTAGCAGCCTTCGTGTTATCGAGTCTGCTCATAGTATGTGGCCTGGTGCTGCTGGGTAAGAACGACAGATAGTAACGTCCCGTTATTGCTGCGCGGTATGCAGAGTGTTACGAAACATTGTTATCCGACCTGTCGCATAGTCATATAGTTTCGAAGTCGAAGGTATAGTAGGAAAGTTTGACTACATACTTAACCTCTATCGTCACGTGTATACGTAATGTCGACGACTCTTCCCGGCTTTAAAGATTTAAAACCTATTTTCTTTTGTATTTTTGAACTATAGTGTATATTATCAACAAGAGACTCATTTTAGTTACATTGTAATGTGTTTTACGTCAAGTGTATACTCATTATGTTATCTAGTTTACTTTGATTCGACATCCTCGTTATAAAAAATGTTTCTCTGAAATATTTTATAATCGTACGTAGCTCTTGTGCTTAATGGAGCGTTTTAGTGTAAGGCCTTTGATTTTTATGAGATTCATCCTTTTTACAGACACGTTTCTGTCTTTTTTCACAGGTTGGTATTTAGTTTGGAAGTTTTTCCTTTCAAGGTTCAGGTTTGTTCGAGAACTATTGGGTGGAATGAGCGAATCTTCATCTGTGAATGATTTAAAGAATGGTAGATCTCGTATGAAAAAAATTAGAAGAGACTAAGGACACATTTGTAAATTTGAAATAAGAAGATTACTAAGTGATATTTAAAGGAACAGAACAAGAAAAAACTGACCAAAGGAAAATTGTCTTTCATTTGCATATCTACAATTTTTAATTCATCAAAATGTCTATAAATATACGCTGTGCAACAACAGATGACTTGTTGAATATACAACATTGTAATTTACAATGTTTACCAGAGAATTATCAGATGAAATACTATTTGTATCATGCACTTTCTTGGCCACAACTAAGTTATGTAGCAGAGGATGAAAAAGGCAGGATAGTAGGTTATGTCCTTGCCAAAATGGAAGAAGATTGTGAGGATAATCCACATGGACACATTACTAGTTTAGCAGTGAAAAGGTCTCACAGAAGACTTGGTATTGCACAGAAACTCATGAACCAGGCTTCTAGAGCAATGGTTGAATGTTTTGGTGCAAAGTATGTTTCTCTGCATGTTCGTAGAAGTAATCGGGCAGCTTTAAATTTGTATACAAGCAGTTTACAATTTGAAGTGTCAGAAGTTGAACCAAAGTACTATGCAGATGGAGAAGATGCATATGCTATGAAACGTGATCTTAGCAGCTTCTACGTGGAAATAAATGCAGCAAAAGAGAAAACCAATAAGGATGGTAATACGCACACACATACTGGCAGATGCTGTGATCGTTCATAGTCAGCTTGGGATGTTTACCTATAATTAGGTCACAATTGATTTCTTGCATCATTAGTTCCATACTGTCTGAATCTAAGTCTGTCTCATGTATGCGCATTTTTCATAATTGGATTTACATAAAAGATGCAAAATTATCATAAGTCAAGCAAATCACTTAAATGTTTGACATGTACATTATTATCATGAAAACTTTGCAAATACTAATGTATTTGTGTTCATTCAAGCTTTACCTGAAACATATGAAATGTTTTATATGCCACTACAAAGGGGTATACTTGTTAATAATTATACAGGGAATAGGAGAGAGAGATGTTTAAAGTATTGTATGTACTTTCATGCAAATTGAGTTAAAAAATTTCTAATAAATGTATGCGTGTAGTTAATTGATACACTGTTATTTTAGACCCATAAATCTTAATATAATAAAAAAGATAAGCAGAGACAACAATAAGGATCTTGTCACTTTCTACCTGCATATTCAATTAATCTTTATTGAACCATTGAAACTATAATATACAAGTAACGCGCCAGTATACAAAAATTATCACCCAGATTTCACCAAGCAAATTAAGTGCAAGATGATACCAACTTTCCAAAGGAAAACATTTTTTGCATCTATTCATTGTTCAAACTTTGCCTTTACATTACATAAAACAATTCTAATAATTTCTTCTATTTCACCTACTTCCTTGAGTATGACCTGATGCTTAAAAGTTACACGATTGCACGATTTTCAAACATTCTGTTTTTTCTGTCACTGCTGCGTTGGTACGTTATTGTATTCGTGTATACTTCATAATAGGAATAATTATAATATACATATATATGTATATATGTATGTACATATTAAATGTCCTTAAAGTAACAGAATCGATTCAGTTCGAAGGACATACTAATCCAAAAGTCAAACATCGGTTAACCTTCCGATTTCGTGGTCGATTCGCCCGATAAAATTTACGGGCTTGTTGATTATACAATTTACGTAAGTTTCAGATTTAACGCATCGATGACTAAACTATCATCGATATTTAAGTTCGACCGGAAGTATTCACCGATAACGAACTCTGTCGACAAATCCTTTTTATGTTCGTAAGAATATTGCTCGATAGCAAGATTATTTCAGCACGAAAAAATTCCAGGTACGATGTACGATCAAACGAAATGATACGAAACGATAAGGACAATGTGTAGTCTATGCATTTTCTTCACATTTTCTTTCTCTTTTCTCTTAACTTTGAAAAAAATTAATTTCACTTAATAGTACGTCACGATCAATCGGAATACGATTTTCAACGAGAATGTGACAAGCACCTATTGATATCGACTATGTATAAATTCTAAATATACAGTAAACTCTAACTGCCTGAAAAATGCATTTTATCTTACAAAAACGCTTCGCCAATAAATTATAATACAAGTCCCGTAAACGAGGTTCGTGTTCACGCGATATGCTCCGGTTATATAATCTCTAAAAAATAAGCTATATCGTGGTAAATACTCTCTAAGTGCCGGACGATCGTCTTCACTTATCTCTCGATACCTCTTTCTCTCTTTAATCCACACGATCTTCCGGTTTCTTCTCCCTTACAAAAGGAGAAAGACAAAAAGGCTGCGTCTTGAAAGGCGGAAAGTAAATATTTCGAAAGATATAATCGATTCTAAAGCTGCGTTACAAATGTGCGGTTGTCGATTTACCTCTCATAACACGTAAGGATGCAGAATTTCACGGATAATCGGAAAAAGTAATTCGCCTAAGTAAGCAAGGGAAAAATCCAGCGAAACCAAAAGAGTTTCCCTATATTTTTCGTCAATATTCTTCTTTGTTTCAACAGAAAATCGTAATCCCGCCGATTATAAAACTTTTTCAAGCCTGCTGCCAGAATAATCTAATCTAATTTCTACGATAGGGGAACGCGATTCGATGGCTGTGCAAAAGTTTTACAATCGGTTGGAGTGTTGGCCGACGATAATCGATAAAATGACCGTGTATAAGGCGTATCGTTTCGTACTGTTTCCAAGTTATTGTTTTCGCGTCGCTCCTGTAAAGGGAGCGTGTTTTTTTCCCAGTCGAATTAGATTATTGGAATGATTGTAAACAGTCTACAAATCCGTTGCTTTTTTGCAGTCTCCAGTGTGCGTTTTGCAATCGATCGAATATGCTTGCTGGAAGAGCCGTAAAAAGGCCTGGGCCGCGAAAAAGTCGCGGCGCGGCGGTAAAATTGTATAAAATTCGTTTCAAAAGTTCGCCTGTAAAATGATAGCGTTCTCGCGTTGTTCCGATTTTCCCCACAAACATTTAATGCCATAAACATCGCTGTTACGAAGTAATATTCTTAATCGTAGAAAAATTCCTTGTTGCATTTCCGGCTCCTCTTTTCATTATACGATGAACTATTAGGCTTTTGCGTTTCTTCATACTGTAAATTTTCTAATTTCCATTTGCTTCTTCAATGTTTTTTCTCTCCAGTATACCGCGGTATAAACGTGTATACGGTTGTTTCAAAACGAAAATGTTTCGTGTTTTGTGAGTGTTCCTCCACACGATACACACATAGGACGATAATTAACACACGCTAGTACCGACAACGGCGCATCACGTTCGGAACGAGCCTCGTTTTCAAACGAACGATACACGCTTCACGAGGATCATTTCGAACGTGTTCTACACGTACTATCGATCTTTTTTTACACGTCGTTTAAATTGATTCCACACCTCTAGCTAATGAACGACACGGTTACATGTTTCTCTAGAAAAGTCTACGTTCTCTATATTCTCGAGTACATTACAAAGACGCTTTTCCCTTACGTTCTATGTACCTGTGGCTTTGGCAGTTGCGTATCTCTAAGTAACGGTAGGCCTCGAGAACTATTTTATTGCGATCAAGAGGGAAGGGTGTCGGTTTCTAATCGAGTGGAAAAGCAAATCGGCCTTCTCTACTCTTCCCTGGTCCAAATTTCTCTCGTCGATTAAACCATTAGAAGTTTGCTTTTCTACGTTCTACTCTTTGATACCATCTCAGCCAAAAGACAGATTTAACTCTCTCTCTCTTTATCCCTTGTTCACATCTAACCAAAACCAATCCGAACGAGTATACAATTGTTAACAAATGCTTTCGTGTTCAATCGATCCTTTGTCGTTCTTCAACCGTTCAAATCTCGTCTTTCAGACTGAATGTGATCAAGCACATCGTGATATTCTAACGGGTCAGGTGTTCTTTACTAATCGGCAGTGAATACATCTATGACATAGATTTTTCTGTTCGACCACTCGTACTGTCGTTTAACGTTTCTACAGGTTAGAAACTGTTTTGATCATCAGGATTGTCAGCCAATCCAAGGAACTTGACGGAGGTGTCGCGAATCTTGCGCAGTGTAGCTTATATACCAAAGAAATAAATGGCAAATCTTGCTCAGCTAATGCGTCCCCAAGCTTCTTCTTCCTTTTCCACATCTTCATCGCTCGTGTCATAGATTAGGATTTGATCTTTGGATGCTCAAGGCTGTTGCGCGCTGCGGATCATCGCTACCTTTAAGTCCTTGGCCAAGTGAGAGACGTCTACAACGCTGTCGACCATCTCTTGCACGGCGGACACGCTGGGGAAGAATTGAGCCGCCTGTTTCGTCTTCGACACGGTCTGCGCCAATGCCTCGTTCAACGCGTTCGCGCATTGCAGCACGCGTGTTCTCACGTCGTTCCTGCTCACGTTTCTGTGCACCGTGTCGCCGATGTGCACCAATCTGTGGGCGCTCAACACCACGAACTTTCCATGCGCTAAGAATACCTGTTAGAGAAAATGAGAAACGTTCTTGTTAATTTTATTGCATTTTTTTTTTTTTAACAAATAAGTAAATAAATCGTCTAGTACAATTTTTCTCTTTTTCTCTCTGATCAACCTTGTTGCAGTCGCGCCTAAAATTTAACACGAGCAACGAAACTTTTTTCGAATAAAAAGGTACGAAAAGTGAGATGGATTTTTGAAATTATTTTTCCATAACTTTCAAGCGTACAAATCAGTAATTTTAATACGTTCCGTTGCATTTCGAGATAAATCATGCGTTCCAGGGTGAATTATAAGAATTTGAACGACAGATTCGAGATTTAAACGAACTAGCGAGATATCTCCAGATGTGAAATTGTCAAATATGGTATAAGAGCCGGTTAGACTCTAAGTTCGAGGTACTCACCTTCGGTGGTTGATTGTGTTCCACTGTTTGCATGAAGGCGTCAATGGCGTGAGTCAGGTGGTTGCTATGCGTGATCACCTGGGCGGCATAGAAAGCCAGCAATTGTTTGTCGTTAGGATCCATGGGTGGCATTTGAATCGTCGCATTGTCCGACTCGGATACAAGGAGATCGAAATTACTACGGAGTTCCTGTGGCATCACTGCCCTAACTTCCTCCCGTTGCTTCGCGACTACCTCCCTCGAGTCTAGATTTACGTAATCGTAATCATCGCCGGCGCCGCTGTTGTTGCTGCTGCTACCGGTCGAGATGATCGACGATCGTTTGAAGAGCAACGTCGAGTTCCCCTGTTGTGGACAAATCGAGGGAGTTTTCGATTATTTTAGAGACAAGTGAGACATTTATTTGAGATTTTCAAGGGAAATATTGTTGCTTGGTGTTGATTGTGGATGATAATTTATGAAATTAATTATATAGGGAAAACAGTTTAATATTTGTATTTAATTAATAGACGAATACTGTACTTTAACCCCTTAACCTATGATTTCTTTTCTGACAATGCATCTAAGCGTCAGCCATTTTCTATTTTAGTACTGTATCAGGTAACAAAAACTAATCTGTCACAAATTAATTACACTTCGTAATCCTCAGTCTTACAAATTCAAACGAAAGTTAGGATTACAATGAATTTTTCTTACTAATATAACAATTTTTGTCACATCTTCGCCAGAACCTCTGCCACGAGTCTGACACGTTGTCATATGTTAAGGGGTTAATATGATACAAATATACGGAGATAATCTGTGGAGATTATTTGTATCTACGAATAAAAATTGACATTTTTCTTGTGCATATTAGTGTAAATGGATAATAAATCGATGCTTTATTTTTGTATACCTAAGTTTTAGTTTCTAGGTTCTTAAGTTCTATGTTTCATTAAAAATTTCGAATTTTGTGAAGAATTGAAGTAAGAAACAGAATTTGAATGTTTTAGGAAACGTCAATTTTTAGTCTAGATTCGTTTCTTATGTGATAATAGTGTTTCGTAATAACGATGAGTTGGAAATAAATGAAAGTAGCAAAAATAAAAAAATTGAAAGGTTTAAAATATCCATGAAATTAAATATTTCAATGTTATACACATCGATTGACGTTTTAAAAAAAAAGAAAACGTGTCATTGATAAAATATTCAAAATTATTTCTCTCTCCATTTTCGTCGAGTTATTTCGAAAATGTTCATTCAGAAAGTGTTATTACCTAAGAGCTATTGTTAAATTAGAAATGTTATTATCGTGAAAGCACGTATATATCTATCAACCCACAGAAACGCATTTGAATAATAAAGAAAAAGGTTAATCAATACCACAACCTGTCCACCCACAAACTGCATAACCGGCAGAAAAAACGAAACCACCCATAAACTAAATCAACGTAATAAATTCAGCTGCCATAACCACTAAAACCTATCTCTAAAAGGACCACCGTAATGTATCGTACCATTTCTTATCTAAACCACGTTCTTCCATTTAATACACTTTATACGACGAGTACAATTTTTATTTCGAAGTCATTCATTTCAGGGATCTATCGCTTGAAAATTGGCTGTAATTCAATTAAACAAGCATCGAACTGCGAAAGAAACTGCAGAAATTCTACGCGTTGACATTTAACCCTTTCGCTGACGATAGAGACATTTAAACGCCGCCGCGAAATCTTTCTTCTCTGCGTTTCAAAATAAAAAAAATCTATCGTTTACTAAATTTCTTTTATCAAATCAAGGTGGAAGTGCACGAACGACGAAAATTAAGGTGAAAGTGTGCCAAGATCACAGCGCGAGCAAATATACAAAACGCCTATAGGCGCGAATAGCAGTGAAAGCGTCAAACTCAATACGCAGATTCCTCGCAAATGACCCGAGAATCTTTTGGTTACCTAACCTTCCAAAAAACAGCAGTAAAATAAATTTGTAATTAAAAGGAAAAAATAGAAAAAAAGAAACAATTAAACTTTACAAAATACGAATCCACGCACTGCACGCTGCAACCCGTAAAAGTTACGTACGAAAGAAAGGGTTAAAGACCCACAGAACATTTTGCACTCGTCCAATTAGCATTTAACAAATCTCTCTCCGCTTATCCAGCCGTCGCACAAACGTTAAGCCCAAAAACGCGACCTTCCCTCGCGAGTCAAGCAAAATACGAAGGATATTCCCCCGGAACGAGAAACTTCAACCTGCAACGGGTGACTCACTCCGTCAGGTAAAACGTATCGAGCATCGATTTCACCCGTTTTACAACGTTCATTCTACACTTTAAGAGGGCCGATTTGCGCCCTCCACGTTTCTATCCACCCCCTTTTTCTCCGTTCGATCGGGCAGAAAGCGTGGTTCCGGTTCGCGTGGATGCTCACCTGAATGAAACTGGCGACCTGACGAACGTCTTCCGTGAGTGCCCGGGCGCACGCGATCAGCTGATCGAGTGGATCCGGTTGCACCACCGGTGCAAGCAGCGACGAAGGTGGCCCGTTAGTAGGTGTCGGAGTATCGCCACCCCCGCGGCACAGCTTGCCCGCATCCCATTCCATCGTGTCCAGCTCGGTGGCGGCTTCCTGCACGAGTTTGTCGGAATCACGGAGAGCCTTGACCAAGGGTCGTAGTTTCGTGGCCAACCCCTTGTCCGGCGCTTTGCCCGCGTTCCCTAGTGTTCCTGCGTATAAAACAAACGAAAAAAAAAAATGAGAGAAAAAAGAGACAGATAAACGACAAAAGGTCTTCTTCTACCCCCGTGAAAGGGAATCCTTTCTTTCTTTTTTTCCCAGTCGTCGTTAATTCGACATGGACCGGTTGGTTCTTCGTTGAGAGCCACTTCGCCTCGAGAGAGAACTTGCTTCACCCTTCGTGAAAATAATTCGAGTGCACCGGGAACAGGGATTTTCCCTCACGGTGCGTGGACTCTGGTTGGTCGCTGGACGATGCAAGTGTAATTAGGAAGGAAAAAGTGTTTCTTTTAACGGTTCTGTTGGGTTTTTTTTTTGGTTTCGAGGGTGGTTTCGGGGAGGTGAGAAATGAGTGGAATGTTCCTTGCATTCTTTGAGCAGTTAATGCTGAGTTTTCTCAATTTGATGTGGAAATAATGATCCATGGTTTTTTATTATTTTGTGGGTGTGTAGGAAGAGGTTTTGCGTTATTTGTAATGCTGTAACTTGAGTTTTTGTGTACGATAGAAAGGATAACGCAATATGGAAAGTGAAAGATAATTTTTAAAAAATTGCAGGTATTCGACGATTAGTTTGGTGTTAAGTTAGAAAATTAATAGTAGATGTACTTTCGAGTGCCGATGAAGTGATTTCGCGTGTGAAGAGGAATGGTGTAATTGTGTCGAGTGCAAGCTCTTGATGCATAATTAATACTGACATTAACGCGTGACAGAAAAAATAAACAGAAAAAACTCTAATATGTGCAGCAATTCTTAGCTTAGCCCTCAAAATTATTTTACAATATAAATCTTATTCTTTCAATTCGAATTATACATTGAAATAAAAGGAAACAAATATTTTTCCAACCATAATTCATCAATTAAAGAAAAAGGAAGAGTTAACATTTCTAATAAAGATACAGTGATACTCATAATCACGATAATAATCGCGCAACTAATTTTCTCAATATTTTTCTAAAAGTTCCAACAAAATTGACAAACGAAAAATACAAATGTGCAAAATGACAAAGAGATACTCCATAAAAATTCAGTTAATCTAATCCTCCGTAAGCAATCCGGGTCACTTCTTCCAAACGAATTTCTATTTTTATTAAAAAATCCTTCAAACATTCGACTCAACGAAAAATACTACAATACAGCAGAGACTTTACCAAGTACCCCAGAATTTTTTCACATTGTTCCAAAGCCTCAAATGGTAAAAAGAAATTAGACTCGAAGCCAAACTACCCTATTTACCCGCGGAGTGTGAAAAAAATATGTTTACCTACAGAGGGGGTTGATAAATTTCGCCAAGCAATTTCTACCATTAGTAATTACCTTCAGCAAATTCAGCCAAGTCGTGCAACGACGTTCTGAGCCTGAGTGCAGCAAGCCTAAGATCCATTAACGAGGCGTCTAATCGTTGAGGCGTTCTCCATCCAGGACTGACGAAGCCGAGTAACCTGGCTATCGCGGCGGATGCCTCGCTCTGCAGCCTCTGTAGGCCTTCCAAAGCGGAGTCCAGCTCCAGGGGAAGCTCCTTGCTGACTGGAACGTCGTAGATCTGCTGCGTTTGCGGCAGAGGCGGAGGTGTCGGTGTTTTAGGCACGGGCGTGTTGTGCCGGGACGGTAACGAGGACGCTGGAAGACGTGATCGAGGTACATCGTAATCTGGGGCAGCCAGGCTCGATCTGAAACGGAAATGTCCTTTCATTAGAGCAATCTGTGCGTACATATACAGCTGTTTGCAGGCGAATGTCAATCTAAATCGATGTTTGCCGATGGAATTAACTGGATATTCGAGACACTCGGGAGCTGAAATGATTTAACTACACTTTGTGATACTCTTACGATTTTCGTATCTAAGCACACGCTTGGTACACAATTGTTTGGCAACTACGCAAATTTTATAATTTTCTTTTTATGGAGTTTGTTATTTTGGTTTCTGAGTGGATTAGTTGTTTGAGGGAAAAAATTAGGAGGGACCAGTTTTTGTCTACTGTGATATTTGAATAGATACGAATTTTTTTATTGTAGAATTTAGTTTTGCGTTTAGAAATGGACGAGAGGTCCAAGTTATTGCTGTTTAAACAATCACAGTTTTGAAATTGGTGTCACATTTGAAGAGTTAAGGGAAAAAAGGATGATTGCATATTTATAAAATTTTGTATCATTTGCTCTAGGAATGCATTTTTTGTTAGTTATTAATACTCGACTTTTGTTAGTGCACGAGAATGCTACTATTCTTCTTCTTATTTTTACCGAATGCTTGGTACAGTTTGCAGAATTCAGAAAAATAAGGAAATTTGTTGTATGTTGTATGATATAATATTTCTCGATGATTAATATTGTGCTGTGTACAAAGAAATAAAAATTGACATTAAGTCTACGATGAATAGTTAGACTTAAACGTTGTAACTTATTATTTTCACGTGATTTAGTTTTAAAATAAATTTTATTTAAACGTGAAACAATTTGCCCGTTCAACCGTAAAATTTCTTGCTGTCGTTTTGCCAGCTGATGTGCTCGTTCTTTGCCAAACAAAGAAAAAGGATTCGCTTGAATTTTATCGCTGAAAACTTGGCCATTTCAGGAGCCATCTAAAGCGTGCTTCCATTTAGTTTCAACTCGTTTCAAAGTTTCCCATTCATTTAACCATTAAGGCCCACACTCCCATCGAGTACTATTAATCAGTACCAGTGGAAGAGAAGTAGAATAGGAATGGTAGTTTCGGAAGAAAAGTTCGAAAACTGGGAACTTTGCTGCCGTAAGTACTTCGTACAATTAAGTAATTAAGAGCGACTGATGTTATCGTTAAAGTCGTATTAATTACTCTGACACGTAATAATTTCCGAAAATAAGAGAAATATAAGAACGTCCTGGGAAGTAATTGAAAGATTTCGATCGTATAAAATAAACTAGTTTAAAAAAGGGAAATTATTTTTCTATACAAAGTAAAATGTAAAATAACATAATTTAGAAATAGGAAATCATTTTTCTACATGAAACGAAATGTAAAATAAAATGATTTAGAAACAGAAATTATTTTTCTACAGGAAATAAGATAAT